TATGTCTAATTTAAAATTCAATTTTTTACAATGTATATATGTAATAACATTGCTATCCATTAAGATTTCTATTTTTTATATTTTGATTATATCAAAATGTTCTATTTTAATATTTTTTATAAATAAATTACCACATTGTATTGATATTATGTCTCTATCAACATTTTATATTTAAAAACTGTATTTTATCTACACAACCTATGATATTAATTTATTTGAATTTATTATTTTTATTTTTGAGTTGTATTGTACATCTTTATTTTATATAATTGCTCTATCTTTGATAACAATTTTTACATTATACATATCATATCTATATTTTTTTTTCTTTTTGGTGGTATTGAATAAGTATAAAATCTTTTATATCTATTTTTGGATAGTATTCTATTACAAAATAGAATTAATAATATATTAAGAGATTATTTTATACCTTAAAATAATTTTATTTGTTTTATAACTAGGCTGATCATAATATTTTTTAATTCCCACCTTATCTTTGTATTTAAAATCAAACAATACTTTGAATCAATAACTTGTTGGAATTTATTATAAATGCGCATAGATCAAATTACAACAATATAGTTTAGAAAATACATAAGAAATTTGATTCTATTATAAAAAATATGTGCTATATGGCATAATATTTTCTATATTAGGATTGAACTTAAATTCTATTAATAACCATAGCAACTATTCTAAATAAGTTTTAAATTTTACCTACTTTGTTCTATAGGAATGTTGCTTCTGCACCTTTGCAACAAAGAGGGGCTAAAAATCTAGCCTTTGCCTCCTCTTTTGAACCTCCCATAGAGGTCTTAAAAATTTGGCAGGCAAAGATGTTAAGGAAATTCTTAATACAGTACAAATATAAGCATAAGTTCTTTGTTTTTCTATCTTTTATTAAGAATTTGTCTCAAGTTTGATGTAATGTATGGCATTACTATTTGAAGTTTGTCTTTGCAATTTCAAGATTAAATTTTTAATATCTTAAATCCATTTAGTTGCAATTGCATTCTATACAACTTTAGAATTAAAGTTTGAATTCCATACTTGAAAGGTATATATATCTATTGTGATTTTAAATAATAATTATTATTAGAATTTTATGCTAATTTTTATTAATTCAAATCTAAGATAGAAGTAATATCTAATAATATATTTGTTTAGATGAATTACAACTCTTATTTTCTTCTATAGCTTTAATACTTATTTGTGGACCAATCTTAAGAAGATCTATCTTTCTACAAAAAACATTATTAAAGTATATTGATTGAAGTGGTCAATTTATACTTTGATTATTTATTCATCAATAGAAACCTCTTTGGATTGATAAAAATTTTAAAAAGAAAATAATTCTAAATTATAATTATAAAAGAGAGGCTTATTAGACAATATTCTCATTAAATATAGTTGTTGTATAATTCTTCAAATTCCAATAGCATTTGACACGTGTTACATTTTAACTAGGTTTACGATTTATTAATCATATAGTGACTTAAATTTTATTTTATCCAATTTAATTGTATTATGTCTATAAAAATTCATTAAAGCATAATCAAGAATTTTTAAAATAAAAATAATATAATTAATATTTATAAAATATATAATTTGAGATTTTAGATCTTAAATAAATCTTATTCATTGTCACAAGTTTTATAACTTATGATTATCAATCCTATACAAGTGCTAATTGATGTGGTTGATTTGTAAATTTTACTTATATAATATTAGAATGAAGATCTAGTTTAAATTTTTTGGCTTTTATCTCTAGCACCTTCTTCAAGTTGCAAGCATTGTTATTGGAGATATTTAGTGGTGTCTCATTTTATATTATATGTAATCTATGTTTATAGACATATTATAGAAATGAAGTCAAGTTTATAGTTTGGAAGATTCTTCTATTTGCACTAAGTAGATGGTGCTTATTGATCAAGTAGTGATTTAATGGCCATGACTAATGAATTGCAAAGGTTGGTAGTGATTGCAAGTACAAGTATAAGTTGTCTTTAAGACATTGAATAATTACATGTAATTAAATAGTTTTTATTATTATTTAAAAAAGAATAAATATTATTGATCTTTTTTACCAAATTATAAGAAAAATGATAATTTTGATATTTTGAAGGTCATATTGAATTATAAAATTATTGTGAAGCTCATATTGAACATTGTCATTGAGTTTGTAGCAATTTTAGAGGCCTAGCTTAAAGTCAAAAAATAAATTCATGTGGATATTAAATAAATATCAAATGAAGAGATCTAATATCACTTACAGAGGTTGTTAGCTTTGTTCTTTAAGCAATTATGTTCTTTTACTGTAGATAATCGTTTTGGCCAATTCTCTCAAGTTATTACTTTCATTAATGATGAAGATTTAATGAGATTAGACTATATTAATTTACTCATTGCTAAATGGTTGTATTAAGATCATTCTCATATTAAAGCAAATCAAGATCTAAATGACCTTTAGTCTAATTTATTTGTAAAAATGATGCAATTTACGTAATTTTTGTAAATAGACTATATGCTTACTTTCAAATCAAAGAACAATGTTGAAAGAGTAATAGAGCCTAAATTCACTAAAGTTAAGAATTTTGAATTTTTTTTTACATAAAGTGGCATCCAACAAATAATCTACAAAGCCAATATATTTTTGTTGCTTTGGCTTAAGACTATATATAAAAAAAAAAATACTAAAAAGATTATTTTATGAATATTTTTGCAAGATATTTGATATTGTATTTATACCTCTAACTCTTAGACAAATTTTGGTAATGAAGTTCTTCATTTGGTTGTAAGCAAAGATGTTTAAGATACAAGAGTTGTTCCATCTATAGTTTAGATGTTAGAAGTTGTGATGGTTTGCCATACTATTCAATTTCAAAAGAAAGATACCAAAGGGTTTGATGATTGGCCCTTGAAATTATGGCCACATCTTACTAGTGCTAAAGCTTAAAGAATATGGCTTTTATTTGCTCATATTGTACTTGTTTTATCTTTAGTTTTAAGGATCTTGAAAACTATAGAAAAAAATCTATTTGAATTGAATTAAAATATGATCACTCAATCTTTTGAAGGCCTTACAAACTAACTATTTCAAAAAATGCTAATGTCTAAACTTATTATTAGGAATTATTAGATATATACTTTATTGAGCTTACTAATAGAAAATACACTTATAATCTAGTTATATCTTTTAAAAAATGATGTTTTTAATAAGTAGACAAAAAAATATAAAAATTACAACCTAATTAATTATAAGATCAAATCCAATTAATATCTAATGATGATGCTAGAGAAGTTATTTGATGTAATAGAATTTTTTTCAAATATTTAATACTTTGGATTTATAATTTGGTTATCACCATTTTTTATTATTTATAAAAGATCAAGTAAAGATAATATTTTAGAAAGTTAATCAATATAATAAGAATCAATTCTATTATTAGAAGTTTCTTCTATATGGCTTTAAAAATGTATCAACTAAATTTCAAAGAATAATAAATCAAGCACTACTTAGCATATCATTTGCTAGATCCTACATTGATGATATTATTATTTTTGATAACAACCTATAGAATCATATGAAGCATTTGTAATTAGTGTTTGAATAATTATGTTAATAGTGATTGTATTTACTTCATGGCATATATAAATTCTTTTAGAAATGATTACTATACTTAGGCTACATGATTATTTTAAGAAGACTTGAAGTACATAAAGCAAAGTTAGATGTTTTGTAAAGCATCTCAATACAAATCAATGTTTCACAATTTTAAACTTTTATTGGCTAATAAAATTACTACTATTAATTTGTTAAGAACTTCAGCTTGATTGCTAAGTCTTTAACTATACTTATGAGCAAGGATCAACTACAAACTTAGGGCTCTTAGTAATAGCAAGTATTTGATATATTGAAAAAGAAGTTGGATTTAGCTTCAATGCTTTAAAGTTAGAGCAACTAGATATTTTTAACTACATAAAAATTAAAGCCTAATAGGATTAGAAGTAATTTTTGTATAGAAAGTTAATATAAGATAAGAATATGTCATTACATTTGCTTCTATAAGCAATAATAATGTAGAGTTTAAGTATTTATCTTATAAGAGAATTTTTTTGGCAATAAGGTTGTATATTTTGCAGCTATCAATCATTTGGATGCAATCAAAATTTTCTATTACTTGAATTCTTCAAAAGATGACTTAATCAAAGTCAAATGATATGAAGATTGTAACAAATACACACCTCTTAGATGACATGTAAGAATATATTTCACTTTGATATCAAGCTTTATATTTGAAGCACCTTAATAGTGTTCTCATAAATTTTTCACTTCCCCTCAACTACCATTTATTTAATTTTGCTCTTATAGTAGTGTGATCCTTTATGTCTCTAGATGAAGTTGATTTGTTAATTTCAATGGTGTGTGTGTGGATGGGCTCAAACCTCATTGTCATGTTAGTGGTGGCACTTTTACATGCCTTTTCTTAATTTGATTTATGATTCTTTATTTTTTCTAAAATGTATACATGGAGTGAAACAATTAATTAAATGAATGAGTAAATAAAAATAAATTCTTGTTGATTTTCTTCTATGATAGGTTTTTGGAGATGACTTCATAAATCAAATTGACGACATCAACAAGAATTTTTGTTTTTTGTTTTTTTTTTGTTTTTTTTATTTTTATTTTTAAAATTTTTACTTGATTTGTTTTTGCGAGATATAGAGAAAGTTATTTCTTGGAGATAGTATGTAGCTAGCCTCTTCCTTCCAATTTTTTTGCATTGAAAAATTCCAGAGATATTTCCACAGAGAAAACTAGGAAGCATGTATTGTTTCTAAACTCAAAGGATTAACTTAACATGCAAACTCACATAAAAACAGGTCTTTTTGAAACTTGTTACATCTAAAACCTATCACGGAGATATCAACTCCTTGATATTTCATATTATCTCGGCTTCAATCATCATTTTAACGCACGATAGTGTTTCCAGTAGAAATCTGCAAGGCATTGCGAGTCTTGTGCGATCAATTGAAAGTACTAAAAACAAAGCACCGCAGTTATCTTTGTCTACAACGAGTTTTAGGGTGATGAACTGCTCAAAGCATTTGAATGTGTCGGCAGAGGAATTGATTTGTCTTCTGAGTTCTATATATATATATATAGTTCTATGGCGCGAACAGCGTGGAAAGCCTGAATGCAACGATCGGAGTGTACGGCTTTCGGTTTAGGGCGGACGGTAATGTCCACAAGAGTGTGCCCACAAAGATTTGGTCTGAACGTGTCAGGATGCTCTGAAGGGTCCCTCGGAATCGGTCGCAATTTTGAAATCTATTATCAGTACCGGCGGAACAATTACATTGGAGTTTCATCGTGCACTGAAATTTCACGCTTCCACACGGAAAGGGACGTCACATGTTGAGAAAAAGAATGGCAGCTGCTCAACTTTCATCGCCTGTAAGTTCGACCTTGCATGTCAATATTGACGTTCGAAAAGTTAAGAATTCTGATCCCTGGGGTTTAGTTCATCTGCTGCCAGGCCCTAAATTTCTTCTCAAGCTTGACCCAATTTCCTCAGCATCAGTTGAAGTACTCTATATTATGAATTGATGCACATGAATGCAGAGCGTTGGGCTGTTCTTCTTAGGTATCATCGCACGCGTAGATACATTACCATATTATATATTATATTATAAAGCACGTGTTTTAGATCCCTCTTTCCGCAATTTCAAGTTCAGACGGAGGGTGGCTGATTGTTTTACTGCGTGCATACAAGGTGCCAATGGAGATGCTACAGCTGCCGGTGCCTATTGTGGAGGATATCCTGGATCGTGTGGGCGACGCAAAAGACATTTTGAATGTGCAGTTAGTGTGCAAGTATTTCTGGGGAATTGGTGAAAACATTCGATCAGTGCGCATCGTCGTGTTGAATAGGTTTCATGAAAGGGCGAGACGAAGTACGGGATCCCTGGCGTTGGAAGAAAAACCTAGCATAGCAGGCTCTCCCGAAAGTTTGACAGATGCTCCGAAATCGGCTTCGACAATTAAACACAAAATAGTCAAATTTCTGGAGAATAAGCTGCGTCTAGAGCAGCTACACATAGAAATTGAGCCGATGCTTCAAGCAAAATCCGTCCCCGAAGATGAAAGACGGAGGGATGACTTTTGGATGAGCGATCCTGGGTTTTTGAATCAATGCGTGGCGCGTGCTGGGTCCCGTCTGCAACACTTGTGCGTGGTAGATTATGGCCAGCAGGCTATAATGCGCAAATCTAGTATTCTCAGAATTGTTTCTCAAAGCTGTGAGCTTCTTGTCAAACCATCTCTTTTTGAAGTGCAACTGGGCGAGCCCTCAAATATTTTTTGTGGTTGGGTCTGTACCCTCTGGTGTTCACCAGGTTCCCCGCTGACATTCAACCTCTCCTTACGCCCAAAGAGAGTCGGATGTTTTGCTGGCAGTTGTAAGATGCGAGCAAAGTTTGTGATTCTAAGTGCCTCGGCATGTCGTTTTGCAGGCAAGCACCTGAGGGTTATGGATTTGAGGAATGCGTTCATCGACACCACTGATTGTGAAATAATGGCATCGATGACGAGTTTGACATTACGCTGTGTGAAGGTGAATGGCAGCGCTTTGCAAGATATTAATGCTACAATGCCAAAGCTTCAGACTTTGGCCCTGCTCAGCGTATTTGGTGCGGAAGGAGGAGATTTATCCTTTGAACACATGTCAGTACTTTGTCTAGGACTTTCTACTCCAGCAAAAAAGGTGAATATGTACCTTCCGAACCTTACGAAGTTACAGTTGAAGATGCAATGTCCTAAGGATCTATGCATCAGGGCACCTGTTTTGAAGTACGTCGCCTTCAACCTGGACGTGGCTCAGGGCTCCAAAGTTGAATTGTTTTGTGTGAATGAAGCTTTAGAAACTACTATTACGAGTACAGTGCCGACAATGAAGGGAAAGAGTTGTAGTAATGTCGAAGTCCAGCTGGAGAATAGTCTCGGCCTACTAGAGCTGTTGTATGGAGCGTCAAGTTTTATAACTTTTTCGAATCTGGTGTTGTCGAATCCAAACCTTAGAAAGATTTTTCTGGATGTTCCTTGTATGGCTCTTGCTGATGATGGAAGGTTTCTCGAAGTGCTGAAAAATGTACAGTTGAACTTGCCAAGATTCAGCTGTTTACACAGTTGTCGGGATCTGAAGGTGTTGAACATTGGACCCGGATTATGGTACTGTATGGAAACGAGTGTGGAGACGCTTTTGTTAGAGGAGGCGTGGCCTTCGATGCAGAAACTAATCCTTCACATGATCCCTCACAACCTAGAGGCTTCAGCGAAGGTCTTGGGTCTCCTTCTCAGAACTTCAGTTACTTCTGTGGTAATTTACATACACACTTCAAGTCCTGTAACATCCAAAGAACTCCAACCCAAAATCCAGGAGCAGGTGGCAAATTGTGAGCAGGACATCAAGTTGGAGATCTTGGCTTGGACGAAGAGTCTGGACTTCTCCTGCTTTAGCTTCTAAAACTTCAGGAACGATTAGCAGGAGTTCATTGACTCTAATTCGAGGGGTTGGATTCTCGTTCATGCGGCTCAAGTCATATCTGTCGACAAAAAAGTGGGGAACCATCAAAGGTGGTGCAACTCACCACTACATCCAAGGCAAAGTGGACAGAAACTGTGGCTAGATGAAGTTCACGAAGAGGCTCACCACCTTCGACTTGACATCCTTGCGTCCATTGCTCTCAAGGAACAACAGTCAACCTCGGTAGCTGTTCAACGAGGTGGTCTCGGAAGGAGTTGCAAGCTGCACAAGAATGGACTTGGTAAAGGTGAAAGAAGCAGCTCTTCAGGTCCCTCCAGACTCTGCACCAAACCATACCTGAAAGCTTGTGTCATGAATCCGAGGGTATTTTGTCACCTAAAACTATCAGGCCCCACAATAGTTTTCAGCACAAGTAGGTAGTAATCAAATATATATGGTGGTATACCATACAACATGTTGTATACAGTATTGTCAGCAATGTGTCTTGTGATCAGCCAATGTATGCTGTTTGAGAAGCTCAAATCCGGTTGTGAAGCTACATTCATGCAACTATTACAATACAAACCATATGAAATAGTAATAATAGTAATAATATTTAAAGTGCAATTGGTAGATTAAATTTTGAATTCATAATTTTTCAATATGTAAAACCATTTTTAAAATTTTAAATTTAAAAATTCTAAGGCAAAATCTTTTATGTTATTTGATTATTTTGTAAATTTTTTGCATCCGATTCATGTAAAATGCAATAGGTTTAAATATTTTTTCACATTTATGTTCCTGTATATTCAAATATAAGTTCTATTTATGCTATAGTACACATGTAAAAACAAATCCAAATCACATTTATTAAATGTGTTTTTATTAAATTCATCTTTGCATAATTGAGGAAGTATTTGATAAAATTTAGAATTAATACTATTCAAGTAATGAATTTTGAAATACTTGATAATTTGTCATTTAAGCAAAATGATCTATGTAATTTATATTTATAATTTAAAATTTAAACTTTTATTTAATGATTTATCTAATTTTTTCTTTTAATTTCACAACTTTGATTTTATATCCTAGCTACTTTGTCAAAGACCAAAATTCATATTTATTAAATATTAAAAATTAATTTTAGTAAACTCTAATTTTTAAATTTTTTTTAATAATTATGTCATTACAAAAAATTAAAATTTTATTTTTTAGGTTGAAGACTTTTTTACTCTTCTATTACAAAAGCTTATAAATTTAATTTAAGTTATCTTATAGTACTTTTGTCAATGGTATATATGAACTTTTAAAGTTTAAATTTTTTCTCAAAAGTTACTTTGGATCTTATTCTTAAAAGCCACTATTAGATCTATTTGAATAGATAAGTGGCATTTACACAGTCAAGTTTATATCTCTTATATATATATATATATATATATATTTATATTATATATATGTTTTCCAAACTACATCTCAATACAATAGTCTCTCTTGAAATACATTATGTAGTATGTAAGGATTATAGAAAAATAAGACTCATTAAAGATCTAAAGGCATTTCTAAGCTTTTAAAAATTTAAGGTCTTTATAAACAAATAATTGTTACTACTTTTTAAAGCTCTTCTAAAAAGGTTTTTTTTTTTTTTATTATATATAGATGATTTTAAATCTTTTGTAGATGTTTATTTATGACAACTAAAGTAGGAAAAAGAAAGAAAAAAAATCCTTTTATTTAAAACATATTAAAAAATCTTATTTAATAATATAATATAAAATTAAAAATAAAAATATAAGAAAATAAAATTTAAATAATTATAAATAAAAGAATTTTTTTTTTGCTTGTTTTATTTGTTGAGACTATGTATATTAGCCTAGTAAAAACATTTATAGGTGAACAATGTAATTTTTTTTTTTTTTTTTTTTTTTTTTTTGATTTCAACAACTAATTGCTCTAGAACTTCATTTGACAACCACCCTGTTAGAATGCTATTACCTATGTATTTTATGATAGATCATCACCTTAGGAGTCTATAATAAGAATAACTTTTATCATCAACAATGGTAAGAATTACATATATGGTAGTTGTAATCCTCTTTGTAACACTTTTTATAAGTAAGATGGTTCTTAGGATCAACCTCTTCTAAGCTATATGATATGAAGGATATGAATCTTAGAAAACTAAAAGATCAATATATTCTTGTGTCACTCAAAAAGATTGGAGAATCACTTAAAGATGGTATAATATTAAATTAGATTGGCTATTGCCAAAGTTAAGAAGACTAAAAAGTCTTGAAATAAGACTTAAGACTAAAAAGACATTAACAAGAGTAAAGGAGGCTTTACTTTTACCTCCATATATTCTATCTAACTAAGAGTTATATGGAAATGTTCTACATGACTTCTTACATGTGTCTAATTCGTGAGACACATGTCTTAAGTTGCAAAGCAAGTTTCTTATATGCATGCTATATTGTAAGCTTGTACCACAAGCTATCTACATGTGCAACACATGGCTAACTTATTGGCCACATTTTTAACCTACCAATCAATTATAAACATGTATAAAATCAAATAAGCATCTATAAAGCTTCTAAGAAACCTTGCCACAAGATAATATCAAATCTATCTACATTTTCTTCTACCTAACACTTCTTATCTAGATAAATATATATGTTTGTGACACAAGGATGGATCTTATACATGCAGCTTATTTATTTGATTTTACAAAGTAGAAGAGTGGTACCATCTTCATTGATTGATCTTCTATAGATACTACAATATTATTATAGACTTGATAAAGTATGCTTGTTAATTATAAGCAATAAAAAAAATTGACACTTTTGGGTAACTTTATTGCTCATTTATATATATGGATATAGGAGATTTGATATTGCTGGAAGTATTTGTAAAAACAAGTTTGTTGCTCAAGGTCACCAACATAAAAGGTTATAATAATAAGGCTTTGGATTTCAAAGATGTATGTGTCCATTTGGATTACCTATCATATCCAATCATCCATAGCCTTCCTTTGCAATTCATAGATTGTAAAATATAGTAGATCACATATGACATAGGCATACTCATTTCAATGTTTAAAGAACAAGGCACCAATCTTGTAATCAAGCAATGTGAGTGCATTAAACAGCTATATACAATATTTAGCAAGAATCTAGAAATTTATTTCTTTTGCTATGTTTGACATGAATACTCTAAAGCATAGAATTTTTATAACTAAAAGTCGAGGTATTAAAAAAAATTTCTTTTAAATACATACGCACTTGAAAATGCATCTTGTTGATTTGTGCTAAAACAATCTTGTGTGCATATATTATCAATTTTTTTTTAGTCCTCTAAATCTTGCCATTGAGCTTTGTCTTGAACTTTTTATTAATGTTTTTTCTTGATGTATGAAACATAAGTTGCATATACTATGTTTGGGAGCTTTAGGGCCATTCCATGCTTTATCCTCTAGCGATATCAAAGAACAGTATGTTTGCCTACTTCATTGTTTTGACTTTCTAATATTTTGCCATTATTACATTCTAATTTGCAGCATTTTTTTTATGTGCATCTTTCATGTGTTGTTCCTTCAATAGTTAATTTCTAAAAAACTAATAGTCTTTAATCAAAATTTTAGGAACCAACTCTAACTAGAATCTACATATCAAGTGTTGTTTGTTGTTTTGATAATTAGTACCTTTTGAATTTTTTATTATTTTTATTTTTTTCCTATTTGTAATAGATGAAATTATTTAGCGGAAAAATAACTATACTTAAACATAAAATTTAAATTAAATAGAATTTTTTAAATGACCTTTTTTTGTTGATAATCAAATAATTTGTATTTAAAACTTTACAAATATCTTATCAATACATAATATGTGCAATGATGCAATAACATAAAATTTTATTTTAAAAAAATTATATTTTATTTATAAAATTTTATTTTTTATTTTTTAATTTTTTCCCTCCAAATGTGCTTACTTATCTAATGTATATAAATATAAGTAGTTAAGTTTTTAAAAACTAAAAATATATGATTTCTCTGGCCATACATTAATTTCAATCATAAATAAATGAAAATTATTTAAAACTTTTGTAATTTATCTATATACTCTATAAATGTGAATTTCTTCTTCAAGAATAATAACATAATAGTATCCACAGTTTATGACAAAACAATAATTTTGCATTCATATAATCATCAAAATTGCACTAATTAACCGTTGATTTTAAAAAAACAGTGTTATATTTGGAAGCTGGTTTTGATTAGGCTTATATATACAATATAAAACTTAATATCATACCTATTCAATCCTCCAACTTCAAATTAAAACACTAATTTTGTACTAAATGTAACAAATAATTTATTCTATTTCTTTTTCATACTTCATTCAAATTATTGCAATTTGAAGAAAATAAATGAATAATATGACATCCTTGCAATATATATATATATATATATATATATATATTTTTTTTTTCTCTGTTTTTTTTTGTTTAAAATGACACTCAACATGCAGTATAATGCATTTTTACAATTAGCTTTTAAAACATCAAACAAGCTTGATGCTTTTGAAAGATGTAGAGATGCACAATATAAAGAAAAGTGTGAGAAAAGAATAGAAATTTACACCATAACTCATAAATACAAGTACATCAACAAAAACTTACACAAGTTGGATCTTTACAACATTTACATGTCCATCTGTCAACTCAGGCATGCTACTAATCAGGATTGCAAGTACTAACTTCAACACCAACTATTCAATTGGCAACCTAGGCACTGGCTCATGTTATGTTAATATAGTTTCAATGGCTCATGTTATAATCAGTGTTATGTTAATATAGTTTCATGTAACATGATAGCTAACTAAAGGTGCAACAGCATACACCTGAGACTAACTGGGCTCTTTGTTTCCAATGAGTGACTGCTATCAGTGTAGACCTTGACTCTATCAAGGTTATGAAGGTCACACAGGCAGTCGTTGAAAAACACGAACCCGACTCGCAAGTTCACATGTGCCTACCACTAAGGCTGGTAAGCAAGAATTTCAATAGACATTTTCTTGAATCGGTTCGTGTGATTTGTATGAGCAAAACGGTTTTACAAGAGATTTTACATCCCAGGTTTGATAAGAATCTCTAAATCCTAAGGAGCAAATGAGATCAAGTCTAAATTCAACATAAAACTGCTGAACTTGGCACCCATAGTCCTGGTTGGTGAGGCCAAGCTCAAAGCCCACACACCCGGTTCCTAGGTGCCTATGCAATACTGAAGCTCTGGGAAAGAATATCTGTGTTGCTAAATTACGTACATACAGCCACTACCCATGGAGGCCCTAATTAAGGCAATAATGGATCATAACCTGAATATGACTTCCCTTCTTTTCCTTAAAAAACACTCCTCATCATGCTTCACAGTAGGCTCAGGCAAACTAACAAACTAAAATTCTAATACTCAGGTTACAAAACCAACCCGGTTAATTACCAATCAAGATTGGAACGAACTAGAGAGCGTTAAAAACGAAAATGGAGGTTTAATGTCCTCACCATCCCGCAACAATTCTGGTAACATGTGCAAAACGATAGACTTGGGAGAGTAAGAACAACCAAAGAAATCCCACCCACTACTACAACTGTTCCTCTCAACCTCTGATAGGGACCAACTTATGGAGGGCATGGGGAGCAGCTGATTATTACACATGCCTTTAAAGCTGACCCGTGTTCTCGCAGAATAGTGTCCTTCCGAGACACAGTTGCTCTCAGCAGTTAATATCTCCGGCAAAAGCTTGTTAAGAAATGACCTCCGGTAGCTCTCATTCAAGACTGCCATAGAGCCCTTTGCAAATTCAAAACCTTTGAGTAACACCATGTAAAGCTCTTGAGATAGAACTATAGCCTTTACAACGACACCAATGCCTTCCACAGCTCCTTTCATTTCGAGTATACACTTTCCTAATTCTCTAATAACTCCCAACTGTAGACTCCCCACTGGCTCTAGAACCCGAATTGCACTCTTCGTGAACTTGAACCCCTTCATTATTACACTCCAGGAAAGGAATTCGGCATAGCCCTTATCAAACATAGGGCCCAGGGTTTTGCCAACCTCTTTGGTCATACTGACCACATTGGCAGCCCCTTCCGAAGCTTTCAAGCCCTTCATAATCACCCTGAAACGTTTTCCCAGCGTATTTTGATTAGACTTAATTGCCTTCTTTGCACCCGCACCAATTGCCCCACTCTTCTTATTCTTGCACAGCTTCGTCACAGTAATAAGTCCTTTGGAGATTTTTACTCCTTTCAGCACAATCTTGACTGTGTTCACACCGAGAATCACGCCGTTTCCTCCTGCTCCAAGACCGAACAAGGTATCGCTGAAAGGGGAACTAAAAGTCTGAATGACTCCTTTAGCAGCCTTGACGCCTTCCACTACTCGATCAGCTGTTTTGACCACGGTAATAATTTCTTTCACCTCATCTTTATGATACGCTTGTTTTGTTAAACCCGTTATTGTGGTCATCACACCTTCAATTCCTAACCCAAATTCTCTCAAAGACTTCTCAGTTAAGAGCCTCGATTCCGCTCCTGACCTAGTTGCAGACTGGTCTAGAGGGCGCTCAGAAAAGTCTCTCAGAGAGTCTGCAAACAGAGAATCCTTTTGCTCTCCTCTACAAATTTCCAACATGTTGTTCTTGCAAGCTTTTGCGTGACTCGATATAGGGCCAGCATTTCGACGCATCTTGAGTGAACTGTATCCTGTCATATTTTGGTTTTTCAGGGAACGAGCACTTGCTGCGTTTGTGGTTGTGAGGCTCCGACACGCTCCTTGGTCAATTCCAGAAGTGCCATTCCTGCCCATAGCTTGAACGTCGTTCTTTGAGTGTCTCTCAATAGTGTCCCCGATCAGCTTAAATGTTTCGCTTGATCTTTGTAGTCCTTTGAGCAAAAAGTATGTCAAGCCCAGACCCTTCCAAGCATCTGCCAACGAAGCTACTGTTGGAGGAACCCCGTCATCAGATGGTGGAAGCTTGGGATTAAAGGGAACAATGAAATCCATGGAATAATATGACGCCCCAAAGGGTCCCATTTGGCTACAAAAGAAAATACGTAACCCTTCTTGAACTGGGACTTGTATTCATTGAGTCCTCTCCGCCATAATGCTGGAAAACTTGTACAGAAATCACAGAATATAAGTATCTTGAACAGACATCAGCACCATAACAGATGGTTCAGAAACCTTCCAATGGACTTCCAGGATATTCCAAGACAAAAGAACGGATTCAAAACATCTCTTGCCATGCTTACTAAGCTCCAGACGTGGAGCAAAGTACGAATTCTACCCAAGTCAAACCTAAACTAGCATACTAACCTTTGAAACCCAGAACCTTTTAAACTTGCACCATCAGATTTAAAATGGACGATGAGCTCAAAGACAAATATAAGCCAACTATGATGTCGCGTGGCAAGAAGAATAAAATTTGCATGACACAATGTAATGACCTTGTTCCTGCAGTTATTTGTTAAAGCACAGCGCTCACGATCACAGTTTATGTGGTAAAATTTGGAAATCTTAGTCGTAGTTGCATCTTCTTAAATCGTTTAAATCACTGATCCTCCTCTGAAAAGTATAAACCCTTCCATGTTGGTGTTTGTGAGTTAATAAGATCCGGTTAAAAGACAAATTCTTACTATAAGCAAGAAAATGAGTTTGAGATATCGGATATCCATCCTCCTACTGTGGATATCCGATGTCTCAAAAGCCTTCAATGCTGATCTTCAGTCACAACTTGGTCGAGGCAGAACTTCAATGGTACTCCGACCGTAGAACAGTAGAAGATATGCAATCGATAAATCCGATGTTCCGAGAGAACTAACCATGATATCCTCTTCTACACACTTCGCAAATGCCAAGCTTCCGCAAATTTAAACCCTAGCATCTACTGATAGTAAGATGCAGAATACAATTTTACAAGAAAACAGTCCGGCCGGTGAGTTAAACGAGTTACAAAACTTTACTGAAAATTCTTTCCGCACGCATTGCTAAATGAGAGCCAAAACGGGCTAAAATGCGGCCAAGAATTCAGAACTGCTGCACTATACCAATCATACATTGCCTGAAGAAGAAGAAGACCAGCACCTAAAAAAACTTTCCAAAAACCTTGTAAGTAGTTGGTCAATTTGAATACGGCCGAATACTATGAGACGTAACAGGAGCTGAAACATCAGCTAACGGGCACAACACTAAATTACACACTCACACACAAAATAGGAAGAAAAACAAAACAGAACTGACAATTGGGGACGTAGCACAACAAAGTATAGAGGGTTCAAAGAATTACGTTACACTCTCATGTAATATCACAGCTCTCGAAAAAATCGCGCTCTTACGGAACCCAGAAAGACAGCCGACAGAGTAAACTCCGTTGAAGCCATAACTAAAGACTACACCTAAAACTGGACACTGGAGCTACGAAACTACACCTACTTCAGCTCCTCAGCACCGACAACCAAGCCACTACGCAGAGTAAATCTCCAGCACCAACTGAGAAACACCAATTCAGTGTCCGCGGAGACATCCGAAGCCCGCAATCACAAACCCACCAAGACCCATTTCGAAAAAGATTTGGACGCAAATTGGCACCAAATGGGGACGCGTTTGGAACGCGAAGAGAAGTGCGGGGTGGGGTAAAAAGCAACGGCAGCGTTGGAGTGGTACAGAGCCATGGAATGTGGTCAATCAGCGTGGGAGCACGCAGCCTCCGAAGGCCCTAGAACCCCTTCGGCTCCTCCAGCCCGAGCCCACGCTCGCTTCGCCATCGCCCGCAGCGGCGACGTCACGCTCACGCATGCTTCTGACGCGGGCCACGCGAAGTCGCTTCTGCGCGCGCATCGCTTTCGACGATGAGCCACGCGTCGCTTCGGATGTGTTCCCACAAATCTGTACAAAATAAAAATAAAATAAACTACAACAAAATAGCATGACTGTACATTTGGATATCAAAATTTGAATTCAGTTTGAAGCGAGCATGGTAGTTTGGAACCTAGGGTTATAACAATAATAACAATGTAGAATTACTATGGTGTGATCTTACTCATCAGGAAATGGCTAGGGTATAATCATTCCAGCTGCATTTCAAACTAGTTAAAAGATTTTCCCATATTCTTATGTGAGCCTACTCCAATATTGCAACTAGGTCTTTATTAATCACAAACAAGCATACACAAGTTCAAGTTCAAAACGAGTTCTCTAGTGACAACACAGTTCTAAAACTTACAAATACTCTCTAACTATTCTCTTTAAACTAAATCAAGTATCTGTTGAATCTCTACAAGTAGTCAAGATAATAATGGATGTAGAATCTAGATGTAGAATGTGAATGGATATACATCCAACACTTCCACTTATCTACAAACATTCTACAAAGAATGCTAATTCTATATCTCTCACTCATTCTTGTGGAATGGTTGAAGGCCAAACAATTGTTGAAGGTATTAAAAAATGTTCCAATGTAGAGGTTTTGTAAGTATGCTTGCAATTTGGTATGTGGTATGAATATATTGAAAATCCATGGTTTGATTTTTATAATACTTTATAATTGAAAAATACTTCATATCTATATCTTTTGTTTTAGAATAGTACTTGAAATTTTTTATAAGGTAATAGCTTTTTAATTATGATAGTAAAAAATTATTGGTAATTTCTATAGTTGTTGTAATGAATTTAGAAGTTGATAAAGCCATGTTATTTCTTTTGTAGATTTTGGTAGTACTACTAATTCTACTATAGTAGATGATATCATTCATTTATGATTATGGCTCCTCCAAGACATAATTATATTTCTATACGTGAATACAAAACTAGTTCTACTTTTTCTATTGTCCAAATTTCCAATAAAATTTGCATCAGCATAGCCAAGAAGACATATAAGTGCTCTATGTGTTGCATAGTATAATCTATACTGTTGTATTCTTTTTAGATATCACATCACCTATATAACAATTGTCTAATGGCTTTGATGGAGTTGCTCTTGAAATAATGACTCCTCATTGATTGTGTATCCAATATTTGATCTTGTAATAATAGCTATATACATTAAACAATCAATGGCTTAACAATATGATATATGTACCTTTGAATGAATTGGATCATTATTCTTTTAGAATTTTTCATATATAACCATGCGTGTCAAAACTTTGTATGGATCTTTAAGGCCAAAATGTAAGAGTATATCATTTATATATTATAGAAAAATTGATCTAGTAATGAGGCACCATTCTTCTTAAAACTTGACAGAGTAGTCAACTATTCCTATTGTAACATGAAATATAGTTTGCAAGAAATCAAAATTATTTTAGAATACTTGAAATCTTAATATTCTATTGTTGCACAAATTATTTTAGACCATAAAGGCTCATTTTTAGTGTGCAATGGTGAGTAGATTTTGCTAGATCTTCATAGCCATGAAGCTAATATATATATATATATATATATATATATTTACTTAAATCTTTGTTCAAAAAAATTGTGCCAATGTCAAATTGTTAGAGTTGCATTCCTTTATCCACATCAAATACAAAAATAACTTTAATAGAATGATAGTGAAATATCATTGAATATGTCTTTGTGAAATCTATTCTTAGCTTTTGAATAAATCTTTTTGCAATCAAGCATGCTTTACATTATTTAATATCTTTGTTTGATGTATATTTTATTTTATATAGCTATTTATTGAGAATGTATTTTTATTGTAGTAGTTTTGGAACTAACTTCTATATGTTATTATCCATTAATAATTGATACTCATAGTCCATTGCTTGTTGCCATGATGTTGAATTTGAAGAAAATATCACTTCTTGATATGATTGGAATTTATATATGAAAGCTCCTATTGATGCTAGAAATATATGAAAAAAAAAGAAATGGTTTCAATTAATAGTAATTGTGAGGTTGAAGGTTTAACATGTGATGTATCTTGCAATGAATCTGAATTTTTGGAGAAGTTATCAATCTTCGAAGTATTAAGCAGAAGCTCATATATGGATTTACAGCAAGGTCTCAAAGATGCTTCATGTAGAGGATTTTGTTGTGGCATCTCATTATGAATAGCAAGTGAAATGGATGGAATGACATCAATATTAGGTTCTAATGATTGATCTCCAACTTATTGGAATCTTCTATTATTCAAATTGATCATGATATTTGGTCTTGCATAAGGAGAATCTTCCACTGATGGAAAAAAAATCTTCCATTGATTGAAATAAAGATTTTTTTTTTTTTTTTTTGTTTTGTTTTGTTTTTTGTTTTGTTTTTTTTTTTTCTTGTGAAATCATTCTTGGATGAATTTAAAAAATTCAAATTTTGATTTTATTGAAGAAATTCTTATTATAAAGTCAAAATCTAATTGATAGTTATGAAAGGAAGTTTTATTGATTTTGGAAGCTTGCAAAGGTATAATAAATCAAGGCTGAGAAGTATAGTGTAAATCAATAAATTGACTCTTGGATTGAATTAGAACTAAAAAAATTGAATTAGAATACCAATTGCAATGGTTAAGTAAAATAAGAATAGAAAAAATACTAAATAAAAGCAAATCAGACTTAATAGAGTATTTATAGCTAGTATAGAAAATCTAATAAAAAATCCTAAAATTAGAAGGCAATTAATTGGTATATTTTTAATATCTAAAGAAAATATAAAAAAATCTAAAATATTCTAGATTCTAATATTAATTGATCATATATGATATAAATAGGGCTCTAATTTGAATATATTTAAGAAATTAACAAAGATACAAAATTTGAAAATAATTAACAAGCATACAAAATTTGAGAAGAATTGGACTTATCAATTGCAAAAAAAGCTTCCAAAACCTCTTAATTGTTGTCCACTCTTCTTTTCCAACTTAAATGTTGATCTTTTAAGACCAATTTCTCTTTGCTAAATAGTTCAATTATTCCAAAAATTAGACTCTGTGTAGATATTCAAGTCTTAATTGCTCTCACTAATTTTTGCTTCAATTCAATGAGTAAATATTATTAGATCTTGGAATCACTCACTGATCTTAAATCTCAAATTTCTATGACCATAATCCACAAAAATCCTAATATGCTTCAATTTAATTCTTGTTGTGATGTAATATGGCTAATAAATGAAAGAAAGAAGAAAAAATTATATTATAGAAGATCTTATCTTAAAATATTATAGAAAATTAACTTAAAAATATAAATAATAATTAAAATGATAATAAAATCGAAAAGTGCTAATATTATCTTTTTACAAAATAGACTTTTATTTAATTTGTAGGGCCATAAATAAAGCAAAATAAAATAGATTGGAAAATTAAATGATGTAGGCATGTGTAGAAGGGATTCAAGAGTAGATTTTAACAAAATTTACCTCATGAATCCAAGAATTGGTACACAAAGAAGACCAATTGTCAACCAAAGTCAAAATCAGACCCTAAAGTATAAAACTAAGCACCTACAATGACTTAAGAGTTTTTTGGTAAATTGGAGAAAAATATTTGAGATCAAACTTAAGAAGAAATTTATAAGCATTGGTTTTATGTCAATTGAATCAATATTTAGTTTTTAAGGGATTTTCAAAGTTAGTAATGTTCTCAATTAATTTAGATTTTAAAAAATAAAAATATATTTATAAATTTAAAGGTTTCTTGAATTTTGTGATGTGTGTACATGTAAATTTTGGATAGTGTATTGGTATACTAGTTTTAAATGTGTATGAAAATTTTAAAGTCAATTAAATAGTTAAATCAAAGTGTGTAAAGGTTTTTGTAGATTGAAGTCTCAAAAATTGGAGTTTGAAGGTTAGTAAATATTTTAAAGATTTTTAGTGATTTTTCAATTAGATTGAAGTAATTTTTTTTTTTTTTTTTTTTTTTTTTTTTTGTATAGATATTAGATTCAATTTTTAAAATTTTAGGTGAAATTTGAAAGCAATTCGATTGTTCAAAAAGAAAGTATTTGCATTGAAAGTTTAGCATTCAGATTGGAGTAAGAGGCTGTCTAACATCCAATTGGATTATTTAGTATTTTTTCAATTAATAAGTGCGATTGATTTCATGTTTTTTGTGCTTTTTTCTTATAAAGATATTAAGAAGTGTACAAATTTTGAATTGATATTAATGGTTCAATCATTAATTATTCAGGTTCTATTTTGCTATAGTGTTTGTTAAAAGTTTATTTAAGATCTAGGATTTAATTAAGATTTGATTTAGGATTTGGTCTAAGATTTGGTTAAGATTAGAATTTGCTTCGAATTTGATTTAGAATTTATCTAGGATTTATTTAAGATTTAAGGATTCATTAGGATTTCATTAGGATTTGACCTAGGATTTGATTAAGGTTCAATTAGGATTTTAGTTAGGATTTGACCTGAAATTTGACCTAAAGTTTGATTAAGATTCAATTAAGATTTTAATTAGGATTATAATAGGATTTTAATTTTTAATATTTTAAAAAGATTCTTTATATTTCTTTTGTAAATTTTTAAAAATTATTTCAATAAGTTAAAGTTTGATTGGATTATTAGAGATTATTTAAAGTTTATTTATGGCTCTATTAGACTTGGTAGAATTATTGTTGTATTATTACTTACCTTCCATAGCTATGTACTTACTGCATTTTCAAGCAAGAATATACATAATATGACACCACTCAATTGATTTTAAATTTTTCATACATATTCACAATAAAAAACTTCTAAAATTTCATCCATAGACATGCTACAAAATTCAAAAAAGC